AGTTGAGAAAGTGAAGCCTCTTTTGGAATGTGAGGAGAGAAGTGCGGGTTGTCCAGTCATCTCGAGAGGTCATAAGCGGACAGTTCATGTGGGACCCATCGACCAAGCTTTGCTACCTTGCCGAGCTTTTCTAGTCCACGTGCAACCGTCGAATGATCATAGCTAAGCATGGTCGCCATTTCTCTGGTGGTGAGGTACGGGTCCTCCTCCACGGTGGAACGTAGTACTTCCAAATCCAACTCCATCGGCCGACCCGACCTCGGAGCATCTTCGAGAGAAAAGTCTCCTTTCTTGAATTTGGCGAACCAATTCTTGCATGTCATGTAAGAGATGACGTCCTCACCGTATGTATCCACCAGCTTGGTATGGGCTTCCTTTGCATTCCAGCCGAAATCGTGGAGCAAAACCAAACAGTGGCGCAGGTACGTTTTGTCACAGTGCAAATTGTGCGACATTGTGTACTGCAAATGCAAGCTCGGTGAGTGATAGCTAGTGTAATGAAAGAGTATAATGTACACGTCACGCACACGTGATGGTAATACCAACATCCATGCGAACGAAATAGGAGAGGATCAAACACGTGTATAAGAACTTATGCAACAACCTAATACAACCTGCCCTTCCACATCTATCCACATGGAAAGGAAAATATTGGAGGCTTTGGAAATAAAACGGCTATCACCAGAAATAAACAACAGGGAGGAGCTACGTGACATCATGCAAGTGATAATGTGATCGCGCCACAAGTATCCCACTATTTAAGGGCATGGTTGGGGTGGGTTGGTCATTTATTTCGGGACAACTGGTAAGTGGCTTGGTGGGGGTGGGGTCCGTGCGGGTTGCACTTGTAGAAGGTATAACCAACAAAACAAGCTAAATATTTTCAGGCCTGACGAAGGTGCTACGCACCGAAATATTGCAAGATAAGATATTTTAAAAAACTTTTGAGACTTTTGCTGTCTTTTGAGTTTTTTGGAATAAACTTTTGGAGTTTCACATTGTTATTACACATTCAGATAAGTAATGAGACTCCGGGACAGCACCATACTCCGATCAAACACAATTATGTGATGTGTACAAAATGTGCTGCGAGCGGTGTACTCGAAACCGCGAATTCCATCCAGAATCCAAGAACACGACCTCCTTGCAGATTGCAGATTATTTGCCCCCCCCCCATCATGCATATTTTCAATAATGAAAAGCCAAAGAAAGGGTTTTGACCGGTTCAGAAGAGGCGAACCACATTGTTGAGACAACAAACGTTGAAACGACAGTGCGCATTACGATGAAGCTTTACTCCAACAAGATTTTTCAGCCAACAAGATTTCGCGTGGCGAGCAGTACTTCCAGCAAAGCAGCCTGCTATCAGTGCTATGTGAAGAGGACAAAACAGAGGTGTATTACATGGATCGCGCTACTTCAGCGACCACGTATCAGGGACTCCCCCACTTTTAGCTCACTTAAGCACATCTGAGGCATCTCGGGAGAGGCGAAAGAGGCGTAGCAAGTGGGATCATTCGCATCAGGACCCAATCATTTCAATGTAGCAACACTGCGGTTTGTCAAGCCGAGTAGCTAAGAAATACTCTGAAAGTTTACATGCGATGTCGCGTAAGGATGAGCTACGCCGTGCTCTATATGACAAAGTATCAAAAATAAGATAAGCCGAGTGGGCTGTACGAAGGCGTGATAACTGCTAAACTAGACCAGCCATCAAGTGGATTTCTGGATCCGGAAGAGCGGTAGCAAGATTCTACATGAGAGCTGCGAACAATTACTGTGAAGTATCGTTCCCTCAAAAACAGCAAGTACAAGGCCATTTCGACAAGGAACGGTACGGGGGCCAAGGAAAGCACCAAGTCCGCACACTTGAGCAATTTGATGATTAATAGTGAGAATGACATAGACACTACTCAAGATGTAGCTATTGAACAAGAACTTTTTAAGCTAGCTAGCTTTTAACTTCTCCAAAACAAGCACGAAATCCCCAGCAAAAACAAGTCCTCGCATCTTCACGTATATCTCATTTGGTCTGACCACATTCTGAACATTTCCTTACGAGCACATGTTGGCAAACGCATGTCAGATAGTCCACGGTTCTTTTCACGAATAAAATGAACGCCAAGGACATATTACTATCTATTTATAACTGCAAGGCCAAAAAGCGCAGATACTGGCATGACCTGATGGTTACTTACACTAAGAAACACCGCTAGGACATACGTCAAAAAAGTGCC